AGAACTAATGATGATTGGTATGTACATTGTAACATTCCTGTTTAGTAGATAGAACTAATGATGATTGGTATGTACATTGTAACATTCCTGTTTAGTAGATAGAACTAATGATGATTGGTATGTACATTGTAACATTCCTGTTTAGTAGATAGAACTAATGATGATCGATATTTACATTGTAACATTCCTGTTTAGTAGATAGAACTAATGATGATCGAGCTACAGTATGAATACTAACATGAGGAAGAAATCCATCCAGCTACAGTATGAATACCAACATGAGTAAAGAATCCATCAAGCATCTGTGAGAATGCCATTGTGGGGAAAACATTCATCTAGCTACAACAAGAAGAAGAAATCCATCCAGCTTCTGTGAGAATACCAAAACAGGAGAAGAAATCCGTCCAGCTTCTCCGATAATACCATAATGGGGAAGGAATTGATCCAGCTACAGTGAGAAACCCAACATTAGGGAGGAACATATTAAATATTAGTGTAAATACAAAAATAAGGAAGGAATCCATCTAGCCATCAGTGAAGATGATAATATGTAGAAGATACCAATGTTGGGAAAATGGGGGTGAATCCACCGAGCCATCAGCCATTTATGTGAAAGTAAAATTTGGTTTACTATCTCTTGAATAGTGTTCTTTCTAATAGTTATTTTAACACCAAAAAGAATGTGATTTAGACCATCATGTAAACAAAGCAGTAATACCAGATGTTAAAAATTATAAATAATAATAATAATACTGAAATTAATGAAATTGAACTCTAAGAAATTAATACACAAATTCTGAGTGTACTACGAACAGTAGAGAAAACTAAAACAAACCTGAAGTCGAGGCATTGGAGGAACTACTAACATGTGAAACCTGTAGTCTGGGGCATAAATTTTCTTCAGCTTCTCAGTTTTTGTGTTGTTAAGTCGCATCCCTTTTACCCGGAGTGGCTGTTTTCCTTGCACCGATATGCTAGTGGACTTTGTGTCAGTGGGCTCCTTCTGTAAACCTAGACCGTAAGATAGGCCAGTGACATGCAGTTCTCCGACAGCATAAGGAGTGACTGACAATGGTACCTGAAATGTATTTTACATTAAATTTAAAAATCAACCACAGAACACAAGGAATGGTGAACTATTGAATCTGGAACATTACACGTATAAAAATAAAATGGACCGACACTCCCACCAACAACCACCTTCTGTTTCACAATAAATAACCAAGAAATCATTGTAACAATTCCTAAAGTGTACTTAACAGGATTATTATGCCATATACAAAATCATACCAATCATCGTTAGTAACCTTCAGTTCTATCTACTAAACAGGAATGTTACAATGTAAATATTGGATGGATTTCTTCCTCATGTTAG